TGTCTTTTTCTGACTGATTTATTTCACTTAGCATTATACTCTCTAGCTCCATCCGTGTCATTGCAAATGGCAAGATTTCATTCCTTTTTTATGGCTGAATACTATTCCACTACTATTAATGGAATACACACACACACACACACACACACACACACACACACACACACACACCACATCTTCTTTATCCATTCATCAGTGGATGGACACTTAGGCTCTTTTCATAGTTTGGCTATTGTAGATAATGCAGCTGTAAACATAGGGGTGCATGTACCTATCGAATTAGTATTTTTGTTTTCTTTGGGTAAATACCCAGGAGTGGAATTACTGGATCATATGTTAATTCTATTTTTAATTTTTTGAGGAAATGCCATACTGTTTTCTACAGTGGCTGCCCCAGTTTGCATTCTCTCCAGTATTGCGTGAGGATTCTTTTTCTCATCTTTACCAACACTTGTTATTTCTTGTCTTTTTGATTCTAACCAATAGCTCTCTTTATTTTTATTTTATTTTTTTTAAAGTAAGCTCTATGCCCAACATGGGGCTTGAACTCATGACTGCAAGATCAGGAGGGGCTTGAACTCATGACCGCAAGATCAGGAGTTGCATGTGCCACTGACTGAGCCAGCCAGGCGCCCGCAGTGACTTTCATTCTTAACTCAGGTCTTTTTTTACTTGCTGTTCCTCTACATGTACTGTTTTGCCTCCTGACCTTTGCAAGGCTGGTTCTTTCACCATTCAAGACTCAGCTGTCAGATAAAGGTGAAGGGGGATAGGCGAGGGGCTGGAACACTTGGGAGCTGGCTGAGCATCTCTCTCTTCTTATAGTTTCAGGGTCTCTCCATGTGGTTTTGTTTTGTGTGCTGGTTTGAGCTTCCTCACAGCATGTCACTTTCAGGGTAGCTGGATTCTTTCTATGGCAGCTGAAAGTTTCAAGAGTATTCCAGCAAACTGAGGAAACTTTATCACTTTTTATGACCTAGACTTGGAAATCACACAGCACTGCTTTTTCTATTTTCTACTGATTACAAGCAAGTCACTAATCCAGCCAAATTTGAAGGTAAGGAAAATATATACTACTTCTTGATAAGTGAGTGTTAAGTCTAGATGAGCATGTGGGATGGAAAACATTCTTGTGGCCAGTTTTTGGAAAATATACTCAACCATTCTGCCTTATGTGGTTTTCTCCATAGTACTTTTTATTACTGGATATTATTTCTTTGCTTTTGATCAGCCATCTCCCTTTACTAGAATATGTGCCATAAAAGGACAGGAACCCTCTCTTTATTATTCTCTTCCTTGTCACTGGTACTTGAATGGTGCCAGCACATAGTAGGTGTTTAAATACTTGTTGAATGAAATAGTAAGACTTTTGCAGCAGGGAACCAATGGATGCCTCAGGTTAATAAACCAAGTAACAGAAGTATAGGCACATTATTTAAGGATGTGGACCTAACCACTCAAAGTACTAAAAATAGAAATAGTTAAAGGGGTTGCCTTTGGGGTACAAGATAGGGAGAGGAAATGGGGGATGGATGGTTAGTGCTTTTCTGAGGCACTTGTTGGGGAGATTTTTTTAAACCCATGTACTTTTTTTTAATCTCTGACATGAAAAGTTTGAAAAAAATAAGAACTATCATTGTAGACAATATTGAAGAACTGGAAGAGAGCAAAAAACTAACTCATCAAGGCTTTTTTTGTGGTATCATCACCCAGACAAAGCTGCTGTGAACATTTTGGTCTATTACCTTCTTGTTGCAAATAGACAGTTCTGAATCTTGCCTTTTTATTTTCCTTGCATTAACTATTGTGAGAATTGCTGTGGGCAGAAATGCTGCCTGGCAAAGGTATGTGACCTAAAGATTCTGTTACCTCTTGTTTCCCTTACTTAGAGGTCTGCATAATTATACCCTTTGTCTTTTTTTCCTCTCCAGCCCAGACAACTGCATTTTACCTGCTCTTTCCCTGCCCATTTTTCTGTGTTGTTCAAGGACTTCATGAGTTCATCTCTGTCTCTGTCTCCTCAACCACAGGACAGAGTTGTGTCTTGATTAGCTATTGCTACATAACAAGCTAATCAAAAACTTAGCGACTTAAAATAACCATTTTTATCATTTTGCACAATTCTGCTGGTCAGGAATTTGGACAGGGCAAAGCTCTGTCATCTCTGCTGCACATGACGTCTGCCGAGGCGTAATGTCCATCATGTCTGGTGCCTCAGCTGGGATCCCCGGCAAGGCAGGTGGGCGTCGATGGGAATGGTTTATTTGTGATCGTATGCCTGGGGCTTCAGCTTAACTCGGCCGCTGGGGGCCTGGCTTATCCATGTGGTCTCAGAGCTTTTCCCTCCCCACATGGTCTCACCAGAGGCGTAGCCATCCTTCTTGCAAGGCAGCTCTGGGCTCCCAGGAACTTGGGCCTAAAACTCTACCTGCATTCTGTTGCCTAAAGCAAGCCACAGGCCCAGTCCACATTTCTCCGTGGGTCCAGATGCCTCTACCAGGAGGCATGGGTCACGGGGGCCACCAATGTAACAGATTACCACTGAGTCAGATGGAATTCAAATCCTGGCTCCTTGACTTGCTAACTGTATTTCCTTGGCCTGATTTCTTTCTTTCTTTCTTTTTCTTTCTTTCTTTCTTTCTTTCTTTCTTTCTTTCTTTCTTTCTTTCTTTCTCTTTCTTTCTTTCTTTCTTTCTTTTAAAAAAAATTTTTTTTAAGGTTTATTTATTTTTGAGAGAGAGAGAGAGAGAGAGAGAGAACAAGAGGCAGAGGGGCAGAGAGAGAAGGAGACACAGAATTTGAAGCAGGCTCCAGGCTCTGAGCTGTCAGCCCAGAGCCCGACATGGGGCTCGAACTCACAAAGTGCAAGATCATGACCTGAGCCGAAGTCAGAGGCTTAACTGACTAAGCCACCCAGGTGCCCCCTCTTTCTTTCTTTTTTTTTTATTTTGAAGTGGAAAACATTTATTAAATGTAAACATTAAGTGTAAAGGCAAATGAGCATTACTCCTTAATATTATAAATTATAAAATAAACCAAGTCCAGTTGCTTCAAGTTGACATAGAAGACAAGTTTCCCCTCCTCCCCTCTCCTAGGACTCATCACATTAATATACATACAGAAATAAAACCAACATCATCATTATGCATTTTTTTCTATTTTACCACTATACTTTTTTTTAGCATTAGCCCCTCTCTTGGATTTTGAAATATAGAGGCATTGTAACAAATATCAAATGATGTACACACAAACACACTCACACACGATAGTAGGTATGAAAACGTTTCCATGGTTAAAGGGCTCTTGATATTTACCACTCAATAATTTCTAAGGCTACCTTTAGAAAAGCTTTTAGGTTAACTATTGTAAACCCAAACATTGCAGGCCTGTACCATGCATCTTCAGAATCCAGGAAACAGATCAATATTTGATCTATAGGCAGTTGAATCTATAAGCAGGTCTTCCAAAGGAGCTTAATATGAGCAAGCACAATTCTCAAAATTAGCCACATAACATTTTGTTTATTATATACTTATTTTTTTGAAGTATAGTTAAAACACATTAGTACAGTAGTTTCAGGTATCCAGTATAGTGGTTTGAGAACTCTATGTAATACTATGCTCACACAAGTGTAGCTACCATACCACACTATACCATAATATAGAATATTACACAATATAGAATATACCACAGTATAGGATGTTACAATATTCTATACAATATACACTATACAATATACTATACAATACACAATATACACAATACGTACAATATACTATATTCCCTATTTCATCCTCTTGACTTAATCTTTAAAAAAAATTTTTTTAATGTTTATTTGTTTTGAGAAAGAGAGACAGAGTGCGAGCAGGGAGGAGCAGAGAGAGAGAGGGAGACACACAATCTGAAGCAGGCTCCAGGCTCTAAGCTGTCAGCACAGAGCCTGACACAGGGTTCTAACTCATGAACCGTGAGATCATGACCTGAGGCGAAGTTGGACACTCAACCAACGGAGCCACCCAGGCACCCCTTGACTTGTTCATTTTATAACTGGAAGCCTGTACCTCCCATTCCCCTCACCCCTTTTTGCCCATCTTCCCACCTGTCTCCGCTCCGCTCTGTTGTTTTCTCTATTTATGGGTCTGTTTCTGCTTTGTTTGTTCATTTGCTTTGTCTTTCAGATTTTATATATAAGTGAAATCGTATGGTATTTGTCTTTCTCTGACTTATTTCACTTAGGTCCATCCATGTTGTCACAAATGGCAAGATTTCATTCTTTTTAATATTCCTGTGTGTGTGTGTGTGTGTGTGTGTGTGTGTACCACATCTCCTTTACCCATTCATTCATCTGTGGGTGGACACTTGGGCTGCTTCCATGTCTTGGCGATTGTAAATAATGCCTCAGTAAACATAGGGGTGTATACATCTTTTTGAATTAGTGCTTTTGTTTTCTTTGGGTAAAAGACTCAGTAATGGAATTAGCGGATCATACGGTATTTCTGTTTTTTAATTTTTTGAGGAACCTCCATACTGTCTTCCACAGTGACTGCACCAAATTATATTCCTACCACAGTGCATGAGGATTTCTTTCTCTCCATTCCTTACCAACCCTTGTTATTTCTTGTCTTTTTGATCCTAGCTTCTCTGACAGGTGTAAGGTGATACCTCATGTGGTTTTGATTTGTATTTCTTTGATGATGAGTGATATTGAGCGGCTTTTCATGTGTCTGTTGGCATTTGTTAATGCCAGTTTATTTTGTTTTTGTATCCCTTGCCTGAGGAGACATATCTAGAAAAATATTGCTATGGTCCTTGGCCTAATTTCTTAACCTCTTAGAGCCATCATATCTTTCTGCATCTATAAAAGAATTAGCATATAATTCCACCCAGGCAGAATCACTTTGTGCACCGAATAACATAATTAAGTATTGTGCTAGATGCAGTCACTACATGGTGTTTCATAGAAGGGACTTGAGCAGTAGAAAGATGGGCAGACTGGTCGTGGGGTCGTTTTTGGCACCAAGGCTGCAGCACTCATGACGAACGTCACTCACATTGCTTGTGACCACTGGGTACATACACTTGTGCCAATGGGATTTGTCCTTGGATGTTATCTAGACAGAAAGAATGAAGAAAAGCTAACTGCCTTCTGGAATAAGAGTTTGTTGTTTAAGAGGGAATTGAGACCCAGTGAAGAAGTCACCTGGAAGTAAAGGCTATGACTGAATTATAGAATGTTCACATTTTAAAAATTAGGAGAGGGGCGCCTGGGTGGCGCAGTCGGTTAAGCGTCCGACTTCAGCCAGGTCACGATCTCACGGTCCGTGAGTTCGAGCCCCGCGTCGGGCTCTGGGCTGATGGCTCAGAGCCTGGAGCCTGTTTCCGATTCTGTGTCTCCCTCTCTCTCTGCCCCTCCCCCGTTCATGCTCTGTCTCTCTCTGTCCCAAAAATAAATAAACGTTGAAAAAAAAAAATTAGGAGAGAGGGGCGCTTGGGTGGCTCAGTCGGTTAATTATCTGACTTTGGCTCAGGTCACGATCTCACGGTTCGTGCGTTTGAGCCCTGCGTCGGGCTCTGTGCTGACGGCTCCGAGCCTGAAGCCTGCTTTGGATTCTGTGTCTCTCTCTCTCTCTCTGCCCTTCCCTCGCTTGTGCTCTCTCTCTCTTCCAAGAATAAAGAGTAAAATTAAACATTAAAAAAAATAAAATAAAAATTAGGAGAGAAATAAAAACCCATTCATTATTTTTTTTTCAACGTTTATTTATTTTTGGGACAGAGAGAGACAGAGCATGAACGGGGGAGGGGCAGAGAGAGAGGGAGACACAGAATCGGAAACAGGCTCCAGGCTCCAGGCTCCGAGCCATCAGCCCAGAGCCTGACGCGGGGCTCAAACTCACGGACCTCGAGATCGTGACCTGGCTGAAGTCAGACGCTTAACCGACTGCGCCACCCAGGCGCCCCAACCCATTCATTATTTTTTGAAAACAGGATGTGCAAACTGCAAACCTGATGGACCCATGAGAAAATGAGCTCCTGGTAATCTGAAGACACCTTTGGGAGGGCTTTAGTTCTCCAAGAATCCAGAAGTTGGAGCCAATGTTATTTAAATCTCAAAATAAAATAAAATAAAATAAAATAAAATAAAATAAATCTCAGTGAAAAAATAGATATTATTGTATGGTTCTGAGAGTGAAGAGTTTCTTCTCTCTCTTCCATCTTGAGTTACTTTTCATTTACTGGCCTCTTCACTCTATTTCATATTTACTCTCTTTTACTAATTTCCTCTGCCTAGTAATCCCTTGTTCTCTCCAAAGGGCATGGTCATCCACTCTCCCCTATACAAGACAAGAGCCTTTAGGCCTAGTTCCCATAACTGGTTACCACCGTGCAGAACTCATACCCCACAGGAGGTCACTTTAACTGTGAGGCCCCCGCTACAAGTACTGTTTGAGGTTCCCTTGAACTGGGATTTGTGAGCAAATGACCTTTAACCCAGTGAGACTCTCCTCCTACAAGCTCCACTAATCTTCTTAGGTGTTAATATTTAGCATTACCTTGTATTACCCAGGTGCCGAATGCAGCTGCCCACAGCCTTACCGGCAGAATCTGTTGAAATGCTTCCCTTGCTTCTTTTCCCTGCTTGTTTCACGGAGATTTCTGTTCTGGCAAGGGGTCAGTAGAAGTGACATCCCCCCCACTCCTTTTCAGTAGAAGGAACACACTTTAAAAGTCAAAGGTTTGATGAAGGGCACAGAAACTGTTTCTCAGGGTTCCTCTCGGCCACAGAATCATTAGTCTGTTATTAAAGTGCCAGCGAGGAAGGCGATCAGTCCTCCAACTTTAGAGGGTGGATTCGGCCTTAGTAGGTCTGGAGTGGCACCCGAGTTTCTGCATATCTAGGATGCTTCCAGAAGATACTGAGGCTGATATGCTGATCTGGGGACCACACTTAGCAAGGAAATGCTACTAAGTAACGAGGAAGGGAGGGACTGGCTATGGAAATCTTCGGGCAGCCTGGAGGGGCAGCCAATTCCTGGTTTTTCCAGGTATTTCCTTGTAGCAAAGATCCTGGGCTTTTGGAACAGACAAAGCTCTGTGGTAATCTTTGCTTTCCACCTGCTGTGGTCACGGGCAAGTCAGTTACCTCAAAACCCAGTTTCCTCTTTTGTAAAACAGGGAGTGGAGGTAATATCTGCCTTCTGAGTGGTCCCAGAGATTTTGTGACACAGTATGTATGATGGCCTAGCAGAATGTCTGGCACATTTAGGCCCTCCGTAAATGGTGCTGTTTCTCACTGTTGCAAGGATGAAACCGAGAGATTGTGAGTAAGAGCCTGTTGTCTTCAGCTTTTCTATATTCAGGGTGAGGACTTGGCTTTGTTTTCGTGTGCCCAGAGTTAATAAACAGGAGTGTTAGTGGGTGTGCTCCCCATGTTCAGACAGTTTCTCCGCTTTGATGGGTACAGCGGAATCACCCTAGGGCAGAATGAGGTAATGCTTTGGAATCATGATGAGAAGGCCTCTTTCTTATTAGCCGTCACACCCTCAGATATTAAGGTGTCTTTCATAAACTTTTCTATTCTTAAGTTCATGTGACACCTTTGTCACAGGTCTTTCTCAAATAGCAGAAAGGGAAAACATTTCCTAGTTCCTATGGGTTCAAGTCCATTTTCTTGTCCTGTACACACAAAAGCATTTTCTTTGGGTCCATATGCTCTATTCCTAAGCCTCTGGCTTGCCCAGACTTCCTGATTAAGTAGCAATACCTACAAATCCTTTAAAGGCTTATTCTTTTTGCTTGAAGTTTTAAATTACTTCAAAATAACTATAGACTGGGTCTGCTGACAAGCAGGAGATAGAACTCAACTTTTTCCCTCTGTGTGTTTCTGCCTGTTTTGACTGTTGCTGTTGACACGCACATGTTGTCTGACTGTTACTGATGATTCAGCAGAAGCCACTACAAACAAAACCAGTTTTGCACCAGAGAACACCCTCTTGCTGGCCTGATTCTCTGGCAACGATGATGACATCAACCTGATTTGTGGAGATGAAATTTCTGGTTTTCTCTCTCAACAGCATGTATGGTTAACCTGTTAACTTATATTCCCAAATTTACTTCCCCTTCCTTAAAGACCTAGTTCATTTTATTTATTTTCTATTTATTTTTAAATTTTTTAAAATGTTTGTTGATTTTTGAGAGAGAGAGAGAGAGAGATGGAGTGTGAGAAGGGGACAGGCAGAGAAAGAGAGGGACAGGACTAGTTCATTTTAGCAGAGTATAAAAGACGGTATCTTGAGCACAGTCATTTTCTCATCATTTAGGGAAAATTATTTTTTTAAATTTTTTTTTAACATTTTTATTTATTTTTGAGAGACAGAGAGAGAGACAGAGCACACATGGGGGAGGGGCAGAGAGAGAATGAGACACAGAATCCGAAGCAGGTTCCAGGCTCTGAGCTGTCAACACAGAGCCCAATGCAGGGCTCAAACTCACAAACTGTGAGACCATGACCCGAGCCGAAGTCAGATACTTGACCGACTGAGCCACCCAGGTGTCCCTAGGGAAAATTGTTAACCTGCAGTTGCTACAATTTCTAACTGAGGAGATCAAAAATGAGTAGTGGGAGGTGTAGAATATAGAGTTAACAAAGAAAGAAAAGAAACGGAGTAAGTTTGAATAGTGACTTCAGAAAGTCAGAGATGGTGCCCGAATGGTTTACTTCAGCAACAGTTGAGTACACATTCACCAACCTGAGAGTGATTTCAGAGACCTCCTAAATTCAGGTTAAGATTTTTAACCTTAAGGGCGCCTGGGTGGCTTAGTTGGTTGAGTGTCCAACTTCAGCTCAGGTCATGATCTTGTGGTTTGTGGGTTCAGGCCCCATGTCGGACTTTGCACTGACAGCACAGAGCCTGCTTGGGATTGTCTCTCTCCCTCTTTCTTTGCGTCTCTCTCTCAAAAATAAATAAACATTAAAAAAAAAATCTTTTAAAAAAGATTTTTAACCTTAAAGCTTTTTAACACCAATTAGTATATTAACTATGTCACATTTAGGAAACAAAGCTAGGTCGTGAGATAGGCTAATTAGTTGAAGGAAACTCTGATGCAGAAAAAGTATGAACACAAGCAGGAAGCATTTAAATTTGTTTTTCCACCAGAGATCACACTTACTCGAGTGATGTTGATGAAATTTTCCCATTTTCAAGCCTGTATATTTACATATATATAAAGTGCTCTTCTCCTTCCTACAGAAACAATAACACGATAAATAAACAGAGAGCTGTTTACTGAGGCAGCAAATATTTCTTAGGTTAGTGCCTAATCCATGCTGGCTTCGTGCTAAATGCTGGAGGCTGCAAACAAGACAAGTAAGTAGTGCTCATTCCAGATGTTATTATAGGATATTAGTTAAGAGTTTTCTGGTTACAGGAGACAGAAAGCTATTCTAGAAAATGTAAGCAAAAATGGTAATTTATTGGAAAGCTACTAATGGGAGAGTTCAACATTCAGGCCCTGGATAGGGCAAGCCCAGGTGTTCATGAACCTTCCCCTTAGGGTGATGATGCCATTACAATGACTCAGCCCCAACAAATACCAGCCCTCTGTCCCTCAAGTCAAGTATCAAGTTTCTGGGGAGAGAACCTGGTTGGCCCAGTTTGGGTGAGGTGTCTATCCCTGGTCCAATCAATCGTGGCCAGAATGACAGGCTCATGTGGCTCAAACATGGCTAGGAGGACCTCCCCTATGTATTAAGTCTTCCTGAAAACTGGGAGATTTTATGAATGGAACAGACCTTCTAGTTAGTTTTTCTACTATATAGCCTTTACACTTAAATAGGCCTAGGGTTGGTGTTCAAAATATTTAACAACTGCCATGGCCCAGGCTATGACTATGCAGAGCAAATTCTGGTCATAGCCCAGGAACAGGTTCCATGAGGACCCCTGCTAGATCAAGCATTAACCCTGTAGTTACTAGATCATGGGAAGATGTGGGGCATCCTATGGGAGGGGCCAGAGTAGCCTTGAAGAGGGGGAGATTTGGAGAATTGTCCTAGAAGGTTAGGTGCCCCAGAATAGGCTCTGAGATGCATATTCATGTGGAAGTGATTTATTAAGGAAATGTTTCTAGGAAAAGCCACTTAGAAAGTGAATGAAGCAGGATGGGGAAGGAGAGGAAGCCAAGCAAGCATGCTGTATTAGTCAGGGTTCTCTAGAGACACAGAATCAATAGGATATATATATATATCTGAAGTTAGAAATTT